CCCGGGCCGGGAGGAGGCCGCGCTGGGCCTGCCAGGGGTGGTTGTGCCTCCTCTGGGCAGCTCGGGGCCTGCGGGCCTGCCGCCGTGACGTCTTCAGGGAGTTCTCTCTCTCTGTCTCTCTCTCTCTGCGCTTGCAGGTGTCGGGAAATCTTCGCTTGTCCACCTCCTGTGCCAAAACCAGGTGTTGGGAAACCCGTCCTGGACGGTGGGCTGCTCGGTGGATGTGCGAGTAGGTGACAAGCCCGACCCCGCGGTAGCCCAAGCCTAAAGCGTAAGGGAGGAGAATGGCCTCGGCTTTATGTTTACTTCCCGTTCCTTACCGCCCCGTCAGGAGGTGTGTCTCTGTGTTTTGTGTTGCTGAGCGCACAGCCTCTGGGAACAAATAGGATGAAGTGGAGTCCAGGCGCTCGTGTGAGGAAAGTTTTGACCTTACAAGGTTATGGAAATCAGGCAAGATGCTTGTCATTCGCCTCTCTCCTTACTGCTGCCGTGGCCCCTGGTGTGTGACAAGGCATCGAGCCACCAGTGTAAGTCACAAGGCACAGAATTTAAACCGTGCTTCCCTGAAAAGCACTTGATGCACAGCTAAACTGTCAGCCAAACATACTGGAGGAAAACAACTTCTGTGCTTAAAGTGAGGGTACTGACCATGGCTGTAGGGCTGCTTCTCCTGTCTGCTCATTGCAGGACCTCCTCTCAGAGGAATAAGGGCATTCATCTAGCAGTTTTTTGACACAACCTGCAATCCTCATGAGACAGTGATAAATGCTTTCTTCCTTCATCACTCTTCACCAGATTCTCCTTGAAATGCATTGCCATAGGTTAGGAATGTATTTCCAAAATTTGGAGGAAGAAGCATGGCAGTCCTGTTTGACTGGAACCAAACTACCTAGTAGATATAGGGCCAAATTTGTTGATTGATTAGTTTAGTTGAGATATCAGTGAGAACCTGGAGAGGAAGAAGATGTGATCAGTTGGATCTGATGTGGTCACGTCTGCTAATATTCTCGCAGTACTACCCTCTAGGCTTTAAGAGCTGTAAGAAGTCATGACCTTACTTTTTCATCTGCTTTATCAACATGCTATTTCTGAGCACCTCAGGAGGTAATTAGGTTTGTTAATACTGAAGTGGAAAGGATACTCCCTACTCACTCACCAAGCTCCATGTAATGAAAGAGCTGTGGTATCCAGTGGCAGCTGCTTGATTCATTCCATCCTCTTCTAATTAAGAGAGCTGAGATGATGTCAACACAAGAATTTACCCATTTCTATCCAAACACAATAATCCTTTCAGCTGTATTAAGTGTTGTATGGATTAACTCCTGTGAGCTGGTGCTGTGGTTATGTATGGTGTGAATTTTTCATCAGATCCATGACTACAAAGAAGGGACTCCGGAAGAGAAGACATATTACATTGAGCTGTGGGATGTTGGAGGCTCAGTGGGTAGTGCCAGCAGCGTGAAAAGCACACGAGCAGTATTTTATAACATGCTGAATGGTAAGTTTGCTTGGTGTAAATCTGGTTTTGGTGTAAATCTGGTTTTGTCACTGGTTCTGTTATGAGTTGTCTCTTGGTGCTGGGACAGGATCCTTGGCTAAGGGCTGTATGGTTCTCTTTTCTGATGCCAGTACATTTAGACAGGAAAAAAAACCTAGTACCATTCCTAGGCAGAATTTTATGGGTTCAGTTTTGAACTGGAAGGCTATTTTAGACAAACCTGTACTGATGAGCTTCATCAGCCTTTCACTTCAGTCTGGTGCAGCTGGCACACCAGGGAGCCTTTGAAGTTGCAGTGATGTCCCTTCCAGCTATGCTTGCAGACACAAATGTTGCCTTCACCTTTCCAGGCCTGCTATACATGCAGAAATAGGATTTTTATTTTCTTTTCAGTTCAGTTCCAAAACCTACAGCAGGGAAATAATTATTTGAATGTCTGTGAACTTTGATAATTATATCCTACCCTGGCAAATTTGAACTGTTCTCTTATAAAAATTACAATATGCTGACAATTTAATTTCTCATTTAATTTGCCAAAATTAATTTCTCATTAATTTCTCATTACATTTCTCATTTAATTTGCCAAATTATTTTAAATAATTGAATCTTGCACCTTGTTGTAGATAGAAAGATGTAATTTGTGCCTTCTGCTGAGATACTGACTCTAAAGGCCTAGCAGTTCTTCTGTACCACTAATAAGAGCCAATAAGATACTATAAACATAATAATGCAGTATTTCAGTTGTTACTTTTTTGGTATCCAAGGGTAGTTCACTAAAAATTGATACATACCAGATTAATCACTGCTTCTGAAAATATGACTAAAATGTTCCTTTTGATTCTCATTTCTTGCTCCCAGTCATTTGAGGCCCTTTCAATAATGTGTGGAGCTGTACAATAAACATTTTTGCTCTGTGATTATATAACTAGTTATTTCTTCCTCCTTACCCAGGAGGAAAACTGTGTGTTATGTGCCTCTTGCTTATATTGTTAACCAGACCTCTGTAAATAAGGTTTGAATTGAGTTGTACCCTCAAAGGAAGCCTCTTCAGTATATGAAAAAGAATTTATTTCTTTTTGACACCAAATCCACAGCATGCTAGGGGGTGTGGGTCAGACCTGGCAATATCCTAGAACAGCCCATTAGGAGGTGGAATCTTTAACTTAGGTGTCTGAATTGTAATTGATAATGTTAGAAGTGTTATTTATCTGTACTGCCAAAAAGATATTGTTAGGCAGCTTGCATATGAAAACTGTTGACTTTGGCAGTTAGCCTTGGCTCCTGTTTCTTTCATTAGATTAATTTCTTCATTAGAATTTGTCTCACAAATTGCCTTTGTGGGATGTGCTCTAGGTGACCCTGCTCTGGCAGGGGGGTTGGACTAGATGATCTTTCGAGGTCCCTTCTAACCCCTACGATTCTGTGATTCTGTGACCTTATTTAAGAAGAGAAGATGAACAAGTACTTCCTGCTTGTCTTGTCATCTCTGGGCTTGCAGTGATCTGAAAAACCTGAGATCAAAAGATAGTTAATGTTTGGTTGTGTCTTGACTGCAGATTATCTGCTTTGGTGTCCCTGCATCTGGTGTGTGCACTATGATAGTCTAGGACAGTGACGAGGCAGTAAGGCTGTGGCTTACAGACCTTACTGGGGGAGGAACATTTCCTTGACTAATCATTGGCTCTGCCTGTCCTCTTTTGATGTTGACACAGTCTTTTTGTACTGGTGCAACTAGCTCTGTAGGTTTTAGGTGAGGCAGATAAAGGAACTGACCAGTCAAAAGCGTAACTGAGGAAGGGGAGTGTTTCTCTCTGGTTATGCAGCAGTGCCTCTGAATATTTTGCTGTAGGCCAAGTTATGTTGTATCAGGCCTTTTTCTCCCTACACTGGGGATGGACATGCAGTTGAATTGCCCTTTTGTGCTGCTACTGATATAAATGCTTCAAAATAGGGCTATGGTTGGTGATATGCTGGGAGCTCTCAAAGAAGAATCTGTGCACAGTCATGTAGGGTACTGGAGAATGTTTGTGGAAATGGGGTTTGTTTGTGTTGCGTACAGTGGGTGGCTCCTTTGGGAGTTAAGGTGAAAGATGGAGTAAGTTTTCTCCACCTGTAGGCTGTGAAGTGTGTTGAGAAAGAATCCTGATGAAGTTTAGGGGTTTATTTCCATTTTGTGTTTGAATTGATGATGGTTTCAAATCTGGAGGAAGTGGAAACGTTCCACAGGTTGCAGAAGGTGTGAATAAATAGAAGAAATTTGCCAGCAGGAGTGGGTAATTGAGTTGGGAACCGTGGTTATCAGAAGTGGGTGTCTGTTAATAAGCACAGCTAGGAAGTTGGGCTGCCTCTTTTTACATCTCAGAATTTAAATTTTGAGGGATCATGGTAATGAAAAGTGCTAGAAACTTGTTCTTAAATACATTAAATCTTATTAATTCATTTTTCTACCAGCCATTTGGTGGACTGTGATAGTTTATCAGAGTCTATTTCCCTCTTGGATACCTCCCCCGGTATGTAGCATTAGTTCTTGAAAATACTGGAAAGCAATAGTGCTATCTAAACTTTTTGGAATAAAGAGACAGACTTTAAACTTTTTAGATGGTGTGATAGTTATATTTACCAATTAGGTAGAACAGAGAAAGGCGCTAAATTCCCTGCTGCAGTAATAGAGAGGTTTAGTATCATTAGAACTAGACAGAGCAGAATCATGGAATGCCTTCAAACCTCTTGCAGATTAAACCCTGAGGAGGCTGGTTTTCTCCTTTCATGAGCTTTTTCTCTTAGCTCTTATCCAATTCCTGATAAGCAGCTTTAAAAAAACTGTTGTGTCCTGATATTTTCAGCTTTACTCATTCTCTGTAACTGAACTGCTTATACATGCCTTTCTTGCTTCTCAGATACTTGGGAACCTGCAGATGTCATTTTGGTAAGATAAGGGAAAAAAAGCATATCATTAAATAGTATCTTGCTCTTTTACTTTAGGGATCATTTTAGTGCATGACTTGACCAACAAGAAATCATCCCAGAATTTATATCGCTGGTCTTTGGAAGCACTCAACAGAGATGTGGCTCCAACAGGAGTTCTTGTGACAAACGGGTGAGTGAAAAACACACATGCAGGGTTAAGACACAGTAATTCCAAGCTGTTATGGAAGTCTCACAAAATGAGATGTGGCTAGACTTTTAAGAAGGAAATTAAAAACGGGGTATATCAAAGAAAATCACTCTTCTTTTTGTTTTATACTGCAAATCAGGCTATTCTGTCAGTAGATTCCTAAACCGTATGGCAGAGACCTTGCTTTAAGGGAAAGGTTGTTTACTGTGTCCTTCATTTGTCTGATGCCTCTGTGAAGGCGGGTCCAGTCCCTGGTACCTGAAGACTTGTGTGTCTGTACTGAGACATGCAAAGCCCTTGTGCAGGGAGTGTCATAGGGTGGTCAGTCTCTGTTCCAAAAGGCTGTCCCTCTCTGCACCAAGGCTGAGGAAGTTCACTTAAGTATTTTTTGGTTTGGGCAGTGAGGGAATTACTTCAGGAGTGTGGCTTAAAAAATGCTTAGAAAACTCTGCTTAATTCTGCTTATTCGTAGTCAGCTTTCCAGCATCTTGTCATGTATTTCCTCCTGTATCTCCATCCTCCTGTTCTACATGTAGTCAGGGAGGTTTTCAGATCATTGATAAATCTCATACATAAACAAGAAAGCAATAATAAGGGGTAGCTTTTTGTGGGAAGAATATAAATTATTTATCAGCCTGTTCTGTAGAAACATGGGAGAAGGGAAGGAGAGTTTGCATTATGCAAACTGCAAATTTCTCCAGTTTTTTCACATACAGGTTCTTCATGATTGTATTGAATTTCAAAGTTTAACTTCTGTCAGGGACAGATGCTCAGCCACTAGCAATTGCTTGGGCAAGTTGTTTCTGTTGGGTGTAAAATTAATTTCAAGAAATCTTTATTAAGGTAAAAATGAAAGACAAGTGATTATCCTAGCTGAGGTGAAAGATTTCATCTTGCATTTGTGATGACATCTGATCGCAGTGTTATTTATTTTATAAAGGCTATATTTGATCATTATTCATATCTGAGGTGAAGGTTATTGGAATTCAGCTTGCAGTGACGACCTTTACTGGAATGTAGAAGAATTAGTAACTTGCCACCAGAGAATTCTTGTTGCAACCCTCTTTGATCTGAGGTCTAAGGAAGGGATAGTTTTTCACAGTTACGACGTATTTCATTGTCACTCCTTAAAAACTGTATATATAACGTAGCAACTTCAGATGTTGGAGATGCCAACTCCCTGATCTGTCTCTGCTGACTCCATATACTTGGTACAGTACTGCAATTCCTCTCTCTTTCCTGGTTGTGTTAGCATTTCTTCTGTTGTTCATCTATGCCAAGGAGAAATCCAATTAATGTGGTATCTTCTCTCTTTCCTTTCATTCCCTGTGTAGTGACTTAGATGCAGAAGCCCTTCCTTCATTTACAGATAACAGCACATTTTCGCTTGGATAAAGAATGACTCTTAATAAATAAATTGCTGTCGTTGGAAAGAGACAGGGGAACTGGTGGTGCCCCTGTGCCCACTGACATGACCGTAGCTTCATTCAGAGTTGTATTTGTTTCCCTCATCAGTGACTATGACCGTGAACAGTTTGCTGATAACCAGATTCCACTGCTGGTAATAGGAACGAAGCTGGATCAGATCCCAGAAACAAAGCGGAATGAAGTTTTGACCAGAACAGCTTTCTTGGCTGAGGATTTCAATGCTGAAGAGATAAATTTGGTTAGTATCCTTGGCACCAGGGTTGTTTTTCTTTTATATAGAAGTGATTCCGATTTTTAGTAAGTAAAGGTGGTGTCAGAAAAATCAAACCTTTGGGGATTTTTCTTAGTAATGTTGGAGTCATTTTGATTGAGCCCTTTCCTTGATGAAAGGATTGGCTTTGTCTCACCATGGGAACGTGTATTTCCTATTCAGCCTGGAGAAAAAACGACTTTGGAGAGACGTTATAGCAGGCTTCCAAGAGCTAAAGGGGGCCTATAGGAAAGATGGGGAGAGAATTTTCACCAGAAGGGGCAGTGATAGGAAAAGGGGTAATGGTTTTAAATTGAAAGAGGGGAGATCTAGGTTAGACATCAGGAAGAAATTTTTCACCGTGAGAGTAGTAAGGTGCTGGAATAGGTTGCCTAGGGAGGATGTGGAAGTCCTGTCCCTGGAAGTGTTTAAGGCCAGGTTGGATGAGGCCTTGTGCAACCTGGTCTAGTGGGAGGTGTCCCTGCTTATAGCAGGGAGGTTGGAACCTGATGATCTTTAAGGTCCCTTCCAACCTTAAGCATGCTCTGATTCTATTCTATAGGGAGTGTTAGATAAGGTCACCGAAGCTTTAAATTGTTGGTCTGGAGTTAAGTTTTCTCTTCCCTGTTCTTAGTTTTGACACAGACTATCTTTGAATGAAACATCAAGATCACTTTATTTCTGTATAAGTATATATAATGTGAATAAATATGTATAAAAATGCTTGTATGTACACACACACACATACAAATTATTAGCTGATTGTATAGCTGGTGGCAGAAGGAAGATGTGAAGTGCACAGTGGGGTACTTAGAATTCTCTAGTTGATTTACAAAACAGAAGATGGCCTTTTCTCTCAAATGATTGTGGAGCAGAAATCAGCAGATATATAGTGTTTTCCCTAGCTGACTGCAGGTGCATGTGTCAGGGAAAAGGGTGTGTGGATTTCCTTGCATATGTCTTCCTTGCATTGATTTTCTTGTGCTTGGTTTGTTGTTGTCTTTTATGTGTTCTAGGATTGCACCAATCCTCGTTACTTGGCTGCAGGTTCATCCAATGCTGTCAAGCTAAGCAGGTTTTTTGATAAGGTAAGTCAATTTAATTATGGGGTTTTTTGTTCTATATATTCTATGTATGTATGTGATTTGAACATAGAACACCAGCTAGTTGTTTCTTTCGCTTTCAACTTTAGGAGTTGGTTCAAACCAGGTGTGAGGAGGCCAAAGATTGGTCTACTTTTGGAAACCTCTAGAAAATTGTTCATTTGTTTGAAGATTTGATTCTTGTTCTGTATAGACCAAAGAAAAATAACTCAGAAATGTGCAAAGACACTCTGCATATGCTTTTGGAGTCCTTTGGCTGGCCAGAGGTCTTGCAGTGTGCTAAGGTAGCAATGTGGGGAGTACAAAACGATGGTTAGCTCTGGTTCTCCTTGCTAAAGGTAACTTTAGGAATTAATAAATGTGGCATATTAGTTTCCCTTCCCATACAGGAGAGCATCAAGGCCTACTGTGAAAATGACAGAAGGAATGCTCCAGTTTAAGCATCCCCTGGGCAAAAAGATCATAGTGGAGCAGATCACCTCCTGTAACAGATCATGCTTTAGAGGAAATTTGGCCTGAATTTTCTTTGGAGGAGGGTGTGGATTGTACAGGGTGATACAAATCACTTAGATTCTTAGATTGCCAGTGCTGCCTCCACAGGTATCCTTCACATAGGCATTTTGTGCATCTTTCTAAGAGAGGGAATCAGACTACCTTTTCTCAAGCATGACCTATGCCCAGGGGCTACTCAGAACCACTGGAGTTTTTATGCAGCTGTAGAATGAGATTTTCTAGTGCTGAAAACCACTGCACCTGCAGAGAGGGGTGGAAATGACTGATTGATGCAATAAGGAGACACCCAAACCATCACCTCTCTTACTAAAGGGGGCTAACTAAATTAGCTGTGTAGAAGTTGAGGATAACACAGCCTTCTGAAGAATGTCTGGAGGTGGCAACTCCTTCTGTGTGTAATAGAGCAGTGCACTTAAAGCAATAGGTTTGGAGAAGGGATTGTGGGTTCAGACTTGTCCGAGTTAGCCATGTGTTTTGGTGCTCAAATGTGAAGCGTTGATTGGAATCTGAGGTTATGCACATGCTGTGCCAGCTAAGATCATTCTCTGTTTTTTCCAGGTCATAGAGAAGAGATACTTCTTAAGAGATGGCAATCAGGTTTGTCAGTTTTACTCCTTTTTTGTTTTGTGTCTCCCTATACAATGTGAACTGCTGGCAGAGTCCTCTATAAAGCATAACTTAAATGACAATCTGTATTGATGATTGAGCTTTAAAAGCTGTGGGAGCACAGCTGTTTTGGACAGAAAGAAAAATGGCTGACTCTTATCAGCTGATGTATTGGTCTGCAATATGATTGGCAGTGAAGTATGCTAACAGTAGAAGTTGCAAGAGTGAGGTAAAATGGCCAAATATGGTCTTTCAGGTCTGTTTGCTTCAAGTAGCTTGGTTATAACTTTAGGCAAGAGCTGCTGTCCTGGAGGTCAGTGAAAAGGCTTTTTTTTGGCACAGCTGGGGCTGGCATTTTATGTTTTGTACAGGTAGTTTTCATAGAACTGGTGGAGCCGTGATGAACATGGCAGTGTGATACCAGTGTATTATTCATTCCTAAATGTCTGAACTAACTGTTTTAGTAGAGTTGGTGAAGAATTACCAAAATGACTGTCCTGGTTTGGGCAGGCCACTTAAGCTGTTTGTGCTCCCACCTCTCCCTGCACAGTCTGCCGTGTGGGGATATCTGTGTTCCACTCAGAGTATCTGTGAGGTGCTTGCAGATTACCACCAATAAGCATCACAATCTAATATATTGTTAGGTGTAGCTGTCCTGAAAGCCCTTTAGGGAGGGGGGAAAAAATAGTCACAAATTACAAAATACTTACTTCCTTTGACCATTCTTTTAGGCCTTTTGAAAACAAATTTGCTTTTTTCCTATTTCAGTTCTGCATGCTGCCTTCCCCCCCCCCCAATTCTAATGAAGGAAAGTCTACTTTTCATTGGGATAATAGCTTAATGCAGAAATCTGCTTGTGTGATGGTTGTCTTTGATGCGTGATGTAAGATTTTTACTTTTGTTTTTTAATGATTTGTAGTGGCTAGCCAGGAATTAACTTCAAATACTTTATGCCTGCGTGCCAAAGTTTACAGCCTTCTGGTGACTATTTTCATCTGCCTCACTGACAACAGCTCAAAAGCTTAAAACAAATCTGAAGTAGTGGACAGTTATATTTAAAGAGGCAAAATCCAAATGGGAGTGGAGATACAAGCTCTTCATTTTATTACTTGAAATTATCTGCTTGATGTAAATCTTACAGGTGTGTTTGTGGGTTTTCTACAATAGGTCTCTTCGATCACTCGTGTTTTGAGGTATTTCTATTATAGACTTCTACAGGATGAAACAAATGATAAGTTTCCAATTGTTTGTAGCTATGACTTTGATCAGATCTCTGATAAATAATTGTTACTCTTAATTAGTGGCTTTGATATGAAAAATGCTAAAGCAGATAAGTTTTCAGCTATGGTGTCCTACTTCCTAGTTACAATGATTGCATTTTTCCTTTTCAAATTTGAAAAGCAGTTTTGATGAGAAGAACCTTTGTGCAAAGTCTGACTGATTTTTCCCTTAGAGATGATTGCCTTTCAGAGGTGAACAAAACCATTCCTGAATGAATTCTTTACGTATCTGTTTGCATTTTGGGCCTGAAAACCATAACTAAATTCAAATTGTGGGGTTTTTAGTGGACTTTTATTTTGTGAAGATCTTTAGCTTTCTCAGTTTACCAATGTCCTGTGTCACCTGAGCAATCAATCTACTTTGTATCATAATTGACATTTTCACCCCATATTGTCCATACGTGCTCATGTTCTCTATGCCCTATAGTGCTTGGTTGACACCTTCCGTTTTAATACACTGTTCTTCCTATGAAAGTGTGGAATTGTTTTGGGAGGATGTGTTTCTTGGGTCTGCAGTGTCAGCTTATATGCAGTTAGATATTTAAAGGTTATTCTGGACTGTAGTCAAATAGTTTTATGATGCCACCAATAGGGCAGACATCTTACACAGTATTACAAAGCAATGCATGCATCTCTTTCTTTTGGGGGATTCATAGGTGCATGGGATTGCAAATCTATTTGAAATGCCCTCATGCCAGAGACGTTTCTGATGGTTTCAAGTAGATTCACTTTCTAAGTCCCCATTGTTGCATTGTAACCAGTGTCTAGAGGTGGGCAGCAAGAGCAGGAGTGCTAATGCTCTGCAGCCATTTCTATCCTGATGGTTTTCTGAAAGCTTTCAGCAGTTGATAAAATGGTACTTTCAACTACCAGTCAAGTGCTGCTGTCTCAGCTTAGAAGGAATAAAGTCTCAACAGCTTTTTAGAAGGACTTGGTAATACTGTTTTATAGTTTTAAAAATGAACGGAGAAGAAATTCTTGGATGCATTTGAAATGCAAACTTCAAAATCTGTAATTAACTAGTTTAGGATTTGCCCAGGAAGTGAAGGCTTTCATTGTAACCCTTGCCAAAAGCCTGAAGGAGCTTCATAGGACAACCGAACCATACTTAAGATTTGCATCTGGTTTAGTTGATGGTTCTCTCCTAGCAGTAGGCTGGAGCATTTTTGTCCTGATTCTGGAGACAGCGCAGAAGCGGACATTGTTGTAGCTGGCTTGGTAACATGCACTCTGAAGTGGGCTGGGGGGAGCTCATGCTGATTCTGACATGACAACTTGTCTTTCCTGTCTCTAGATTCCTGGCTTCCCTGAAAGGAAGAGGTTTGGAGGGGGAACGCTGAAGAGCCTTCATTATGACTAAATGCTGAAGAATTGGAAGATGACTTCTCTGAGTTCCTGAGGACATTTACATTCCAACTGGATGCTTAAAGACAATAATGCTACGTCAAGCAGAGTGAAATGATACTATGCTTTGGCCATGTAGACTGTTTAAGCTACCTTTGCTGGAAGAGACTTGGGGAAGGATTTCCAAAAATCTAATTCAAAGCCTAGAGTGTTTCTTATATTGCAGGCTGTCTCTGGATATATGGGAACATTAGGGGAAAATGTGCAATAAATTGAATGCCTCTCACATTGCTGTGAGAAGCTTTATCATACATAGTACATCTGTGTGGCATCTTGGAAAGATGTCTCCATTTTGGAAAACTTATGGACAATCTTTGCAATGAGTAACATCCATCTTACCTCTGAAGGAAAGATGGCACAGAGTGGGCTTCTCATTTACAGTCAAGTGAATAAAACAAATGAGCAAAATCTAAGGATGTTTAGGGAATGGTTCAGAAAATAATAGAATGCCTTCATTAAATTAATGGTGTTGTCTCACCTGGAACACACTGTTCAGCCATGTTCAAAAGGGATAAAATAGGTAAAAGAGGAAAAAACATTTTAAAGCCTTAAAAAATAGTAGAAAATAAGTGGTATTAATTCTACTGCTTAAATTAAAATTGTTTACCTTGCAGAAGCTTCTGATTCACTTTGTCATCTGTTTATCTTTTCATAATTTACTATGGTCTTGTTCTTCATATTAAATTAAAAGTCAATGCATTGAAAGCTGATGGGGAAAGTGTATTTTTATACAGTGCTTATTTGAAACAAAGATGACATGGTCTTACTGAGTCTGAGAGCTTAGTGGAATTAGAAAACATAAAATGCAAGAACATATTCTGAATCAGAATGGATAGAAATTTAAAAGGGATATAAAGCCCTGTAAAAAGTAGAAGCTGAGCATAATTAGAAGGAAAGTGTTGTGGTAGGAATGTTTCCTTCTCGTATTCAGTACTATGGATAAGGGAGCCTTGACCAGGTATGATCTACTGTGTTGTGTTTGCATGGTTTCTCACCTTCCTATAATTATGTGGAGTGGTAAAAGCCTGATTTATGGCAGGTTTTTTTTTCTCCTGTTTTCTCACAGTCATCTCTAGTGGTTAAGCCCCTGGCAAAGGCTAACTAAGAGCCTGAGTTAGATTTAAATGCAGATTAATAATAAATGGGGATAGAAGGAAGTAAAATGCTGGTGTGAAATTGACAGCAGGCAGAGTTCTGCAGTCTACAGATTACATCTGCCTGCAGTGCTTCTCTAGCAGCTGCTTGGAAATAAATGAAAAACTGCCTATTGCCACTAATCAGGCACAAAAATGACAGCTAGGTGTACCAGACAGACTTATTAAAAATATGGTTACTTTGCTTTTCCTTAGGTCATTTCCAGAAAGGTCTTGGAGCATTTGCAAACATGAGTGCAGTGAATTCTTAGATGCCCATATGAATAGGTTATTAGTTTACATTTACTTTACAACCTGGGAAAATAAGGTGCAGGAATAATAATAGCAACAACCCACGTCTGAGTTGTGCAGCTCATAACAGCACCAATGTTCCTCTCTTCTACTTTGACAATGAAAGCTGGAATTATTTTCTCAAGGTCAGGTGCTGTTTTAGGGTAACGAGGTCTGGGTTTTGCAAGGAACTGTCAAACGGAACAAGCAAGCAAGGTTTTTTTCTTTCTTCACCCTATGGCTTCTTTAGGAGAACTGGAAGTGGGGTAGAGTGAGGGAGGCCATTTAGTTGCTGCATGATGCAATGGTTGTACAGATCTTTGGTTTGGAGGAAGCAACAATCCTAAATAGCCCTCTTCAATTATTCAAAAAAGGAGCATTGCTCAGCATTCCACAAGGTGACCTAAGCCCTAGTTGGAGCTTACCTGTGTTTGTGCATTTCACTCCTGAGGCTCCACAAATAAGAAATGTCTTCATATGGCAAATCTTGTGAAGGTCAGTTGACACTTAAGGGAGAGGAGAGAATGCACAGATTGTGTGCATCAGTGGGACTGAGTTTGCTTGAGGCTCCTGCTCTAGGCTCAGCTAAGTCTGTCTGGACTCAATCGTCCAGCTATAAGCCATAAAATTCCTGCCAGAATATATGCATCCACTCTTGAATTGACCTGCTGTGTGGTCTGACAAGGAACTTCATGGTCAGTCTCACTGTCGCATCTCCAAAGCGAATTGAGGCTTCCTGGGAGGCAAGGCTCTGATGTATCTGTTCATCATATTGTAGTGCTTTCAATACAGTGGGAATTAGATAATTTACCCTTTTTAAGTATAGTCTGCATGTTTAACCTGAAGGAAATGAGTATCAGAATTGTTCCAAGCTGTTTCTGTTGCCACAATATTTATCACCAACCGTAACTCTGTCCTACATAAGCAAATAATTTAATAGTAGCAATCCTTTAGGTAGCTGTCACTTGGTTAAGGCTAAATTTCTATGCTGTTCTCCATCTATTGCGCCTAAAAATGGTTGTAGACCTGTCTGACCAGGATTGCAGTGCTTTAGTCTTCGCGTTCTATTAGAATAGATTTGTAAAATGCTTGTGTGGGTTTTCCCATCTATTTTTATCTCCTTTTCTTCTTCTAGTAACCAGGGCCAAGTTAAGGATATTAGTATATTCAAGTTATGTTTAAATATAATCTTGAAATTTAATGGGTTTTCTGTGCTTGGGGTTGAATCTCAGTATCCCTGTTGTGTAGTTTTCCATTTACATGACTGGCACACACTGTAGATCTCTTGAAATGCAATTTTTGTTTGGACTGTTAGCTTCTGTTTTCCTAAATGTAATGCAGAGTAGAATGGACTGATAATTATCATAAAATCATAGAATGGGTTGGGTTGGAAGGGTCCTTAAAGATCATCTAGTTCCAACCCTCCTGCCAGAACACCTTCCACCAGATCAGGTTGCTCGAAGCCTCATCCAATCCAGCCTTGAACAGGGATGGGGGCAGGCACAACTCAGCCTGTTCCAGTGTCTCACCACCCCCACAGAAAAGATATAAAATGAGGTTATAAAATAAGACAAACCATGGCAATTGGCAGAAGCTGTTGCAGGCACCATTAACCTCCTTGCTAGGTGTAGTGTGGGATTAGATGCAACTTTCTCTTTAATTGGAGACAATGGTTCCACACACAAGTTCTAGCAGTTTAGCACTGTACCTTGATTGTACCTATATTTTTTTTGTGTATAGAGCCAGAGTACCTCACACCTGCTGTGGTGTTTATCAAATGTCAGGATCCAGTGGGCAATGTGGATTTTTCATTTACTTTACCCTTTTTCACTGCCCCATCCCTTCCATGCTTCTGCTTTACTTTTATCTCAGAATGTCTGAACATCAGTTTTAAATTGTCAAACAAAAACCCTGTGTTGATCTTTCTCCCAAATATTCACTGCCCAGCCAAACCCTGTTTGTTTTCTGGATCACAGGCTTGAATGTAGTGCTTGTCTGACAGGTGTGTTACCACAATACTGTGAATCCAACATCTCAGTTATTTTAATACAAATAGATGTCCAGTCCAGATTAAGTATCTTATTTGTTTAGCTTTCAGCAGGTAACCACAATTATGTATAATTTTTCCTCTTAGGACAAGGTACATGCATTTCACATTTTACCCAGTTCCGTTACACTAGAGCTACTCCATCTCTCCATGTTGTTTCCTAGGCAGGAATCCCTAGGAAATGCCCAGATGCTGTATACCAGAGATGTCAGTGAGGGTGGCTCATGTAGGTATAGCTGAGATGTCTTGGCCTTCCCATGCCCCCACAGATGAAATGCATAGCTAACAATGAGCCTCCCCTCTTCACAAGGAGCTCAGCAGATCTTTCTGGTTGGTTTATGACCAGTTTCATGACTGAGGGGAGAGTCAGGAATATGAATATGTCCTAACTATGGAAAACCCTCTGAATCTGCCCCTCTTGATTTCCATGCAAAAAAGTAGGAAACCCATGTTCACAGTAAACTTGAATTCTTGAGTATACTTTTTTGTTTTTGTAGCAACAGGATTGCCTGCTCCTTGCAGCAATCTTTAGCAAAGGTGCCACTGGCTTTAAGCATGTGAAACCTATCTAGTAATGGGGTTTTGGGTGCAACCTTAATACCACTTTTGATAATAATAATATTTGCAGAGACAGCTGCAACATGCTCCATTTATTGCAAATCAGGTATGATCTGCTGTGTTGCAGCCTGCAGTCAATAGGGTTTTCAGTGAGGTGTAGTGAATTCAGCGCTTGAATCTCTGTTTCTCAATTGATAAGGAGGTAACAGACTTCCCTGATCGAAAACCTGCTTCTGCTTTTCAGCAAATGGAGCTTAATCCTTCTTATATCTTTTGTTAGTCAGCTCTTCCAAGTAGAAGTCATGTTCTTGTCTCATTTTCCTTATGAGGACGCCAGTGACTTTGATTCCTTTATAAGGTTGAGCAATTCTGTGGCTTAGCACACTAGTTTTCTTTGACAAAAAGCCATTATCATTATTGATGAACCTGTCCACTGGCTGGCAAGTTACCAGGAATTGCTCAGAGATGGAGCTTTCCTTAGGCTGTGCTTTGCTGCAGCACCCTGCATTAGGTCCTCAGACAGACACTGGTTTTGGAAAAAACTCCAGGTAGGTGTTGGGTAGGAGAGGGGAAAGAGAAGAAAATCAGTCTTCCATGTGAACTCAATCAATTGCAAAGCTCTCCTACTTAGTGAAGGCCTGATAATGTGGCTGAAAGTAATGGACTATTGTCCACTTGCACTATTTCAGGTTTATTTTAACATCTGCTCAAGTAAATGGGGAAAACGTTTCTATATGATCCAGCAAGATAACCAATGAAGAAGTTAAGAAGAGTCTTCATCACTAACCATGGGTGTATGAGCAGCATAAGGGCTTTCCAGGTAGGCAAGCAAAGCTGCAATAAACCTGTGATTCTCAGGACTTGAGTTTAAACGGATCTTGAAATCAGATGTAGTTCCCTAGCAGTGAGATTGGTGATGGCTGAAATGGTTAACGGAAGGAAGCAGATGTGTCATGTTTGGGGTTTTTCAGGGTAGAAAGAGTAGCTTTCTAAAAGAAGTGTTAGCACAGCTTTGAGGAGAAGTACCCCAGTATGTTTGTGGCAGCAAAGAGACTGTGAACTCCAGCTTTGGCAGGTTGGCTGCTTAGCTGACCCTGCTTCAAACACTCTGAAATATAGAGCTGTTTTCTTCTTCATTTTGGTTTTGTGTCACTGCGGTACAGCTTGTTGTGCTCCTTGGCCTTACAGAAACTCTGGTTGCATGGCTATGGCAATTGCACAGGAAAATTCCTTCCCTGCATACCACCACAGAATTCTCTCAAAAAGGGGTTGAATACAAGACAAGCTCATCAATAAAAACACATACTCTTTCTTGACTGAATCAACCAAACAGAAGTCTTGGCTGCGTGGATGATTCCACTCAGAAGTTTGGTAATTTCTCTTGAATAGGAGAACGAGCATGAAGTGAAATAGTGTGTGATTAACCCATGCACATCTATGTTCCCTTTGACCTGAAAGTTAACATTTACAGAGTGGGAACACTCTGCTGGCTTTGGGTTAAAGATTTATTAAAGGACAAGGAGGCCCAGTAGCTTTGAAGGCTAGGACTACATTCAGAGTTTTTATCTTGCTGACTGATGCCACCCTCTCTACCTGAGGCTTGTTCCGCAGTGGCTTATGTGGGCTTGACAGGCTGTCCTACCCTTGATGAGCAAAAGGTCAAGAGCACAAAATTCAGTGACTGTCCAAAATTAGCACTTTCCTTAGCCATTTCACCATGGTGGGAAAGGACAGAACAAGACAAGGTGACTGAATTTTCTCCTGACTGCTAGGAGTGGTTCTTCTGGCCTGAAGGCAGAAGCATCACAGGAAGGTGAGCAGGTGGCTTCTTCAGCCTCTATTCATGCAGCCTCTACTTTTTTGGCAACAAGAAGTATGTGCTCTTCGCTGCAGACAACTTTTATGACCTTTCCTGCACAAATAAATGATAATAATTAACCTGTCTGGTATCTGCTGCTGAGTGGTCCCAGAAAAATGACAAGGATGTATTTCATAAGAGCCACTCTACAAAAAAGTACATGTTATTAGAAAGAGCTTTGTTTTTGCCACATGGCTGTTGGCAATGATAAAAAGGTATAAATTTTTAATAAACTATTGCTTTATTTTCTCATAATATGATGAAAGATCAAAAAAGATATTAAGTCCCCTGGGTACTAAGTAGTACATTAGCAGATAAAGGCCCAGCTGATCTATACAGCTCCTGTCCCATTTGGCAGCATGTAAAGGGTTAACAATCAGAGAATAAATGCAAGCTGGGGATGCTGCGATCACAGAGAAAGTGAATGAATATATTATTAAATATGTACAGCAATGAATGCATTTCAGCAGAATGAAGATAGCAGGGAAAGA